ATGCCTCTCTCTCTAATGTCCCAGCTCTCTCTTTAACATCCATGGTATTACTTCAGAGATAGTGTAGCAGGGTGGTCACCCGCTCCAGCCCTGACAGGATTAAAGCCAGCCCTGGGAGAGGGCTAGGGGCTGGGAGAAAAGCCCAGGCTGATTAAGGGAACAGCCACAGCGGTGGCCAGCTCAATCAGGGCCCTTATAAGAGGGCAGTGGGCCAGAGAGGCAGTCTCTCTCTGACTGTAGAGAGGGAAGGACTTGGCTTCCTGGGAGCTAAAAAGGAACCTGAGGTGAGGTAGTGCTGGTGAGCTCCTGCCTGAAACCCCTGGCTGCAGGGCCAAAACAGGTTCTGGGGCTGCAAAGGGGCAGTAGGTCCTACTCCCCCTTGCCTATGGTGACTGGCTTATACAGACTGCAGTTGGCCCCAGTGAAAGGGGGCTAGATGGTGACTGGCAGTAGCCCATAGGCTGAGGCAAGGTGGGATTAGGGGGTTCCATGAAGAGGGGAGACCCAGAGACTGGGGAGCATACTTCTGGGGCAGAACTCCCAGATAAAGGGGCACTGGGGTCTGGGAGGGACATGGAGGGCAAGTGACAGGCAAGATACTGGCCAGCAGTGGGTGCTCTGGAGGCTGGTGAGCTAATTCAAGTTGCAGTGGGGGAGGTTTAGATTGGATATTAGGAAAAACTTTTTCACTAAGAGGGTGGTGAAACACTGGAATGCGTTACCTAGGGAGGTGGTAGAATCTCCTTCCTTAGAGGTTTTTAAGGTCAGGCTTGACAAAGCCCTGGCTGGGATGATTTAACTGGGAATTGGTCCTGCTTCGAGCAGGGGGTTGGACTAGATGACCTTCTGGGGTCCCTTCCAACCCTTATATTCTATGAATCTATGATCCCAGGAAAACTAGCAGGAGGTGCCATAGGTGTGAGTCTTGCAAGGCTACAGGTAGCATTCCTAACTGACCTCTCTGCCTAGCAGATTGCTTTCCATACCTGTCAGCTACCTGGTTTGCAACCCCAGCTGTCTTTGTGCCAGGTGTGAAAGACCAGAGACTTCTGCATTGTACAAGCAAATATCTGGCACACTGGGCTAGGGGTATCAGTGAGTCAATAGCAACAAACTGGACTAGATCTGTGTTCAAAGAGCTTGGACCGTCTGTATTAGGACTTGTCTATGCTGCGAAGTTGTCAACAAAACTTTTGTCTTTCGCAGGTACTTAAACCCCCTGAGAAAGACAAAAGTCTTGGTCTTGTGAAGCAAGTGGCAGTGTGAACACGGCTTTGTTGGCGGGAGCGCTCTCCTGCCAACAAAGCTAAGGGCTAGAAGTATCTTGTCGGCAAAAGTGCCAAAAAAGTGTTTACACACGCTGACTTTTAGCGACAAGGCTGTGTTGACACAAAAGCTGTGTCGCTAAAAGCTGTGTGGTGTAGACAAGCTCATAGAGTTCAGACAGTCTTGTTTACTTTTGTCCCTGCAGTCTTGAGAAATTTGCCCTACATATTTCCTCCTTTAAAACATTTTTTACTTCAGCATGTGGGTTTTAATATCCTCCTTCCACTACCAATTCCATCTGCATTGACTACCACAGATATAGTTGAGAAAATGAGTTTATTTTTGCTCTCTTGTCCTGATTTAGTTCTCGTATCCAGGTTGTCACATCCACTTTTCCTCTCAAATCCTAGTTCATGTTGTTTAATTTATCTCACAGCCCATCAGCTTCTTTCTCAATCACCTGCGAGCATACACACCGACTCTCCGCCAGTAATTGCTAATGGTTCAGATATCTCCTTGGTCAGCTCCCTGAGTATTCTAGGATGTATTTTATCAGACCCTGGTGACTTGAAAACATCTAACTTGTCTAAGTAATTTTTAACTTGTTCTTTCCCTATTTTGGCCTCAGATCCTACCTCATTTTCACTGGCCTTCACTGTATTAGATGTCCAATTGCTACTAATCTTTTTGTTGAAAATATCCATAAGTTTGGAGTACTAGTGGGTGTTTGAGCCTCACAATTTGGTATGTTTGGACATATTGCACAATCCATTTGTATACAAAATGTGGAAAGTGGTGCTTAAAAATCAAAGGTGCAATATGGCCTATTGTACCTGCTCGGTATTAAACTCTAAGCAGTTTTGCTCCTAGTTTTGTAAGTTTATCTGAGTCCTAATTAACAAGAAATAGTAAAATGCTGGAAAGACTTCCAAGAATAGTTTATTTTAATAAAAAGGGCCAAGGATCTAATCAAGCACCCACTGACATTAGTGGGAATTCTGCCATTGACTTCAATAAGAACAAGATTGTTATCCTGATTCACAGCCAAAAACTGTGTACAGAGAAACATTCAAAAGAAAGATGCATTAAAATTATTTAACTTGTTTACAAGACCATCATGAATCATTTTCTTTAAATTTGGCTTGCTGTAGTGTAAATGGGGCCCAGAAAGCTTTCTGTAGCATAGGGAATGATATTTGGATTATTGCTGCAGAATGAGGTGTTTTCCTCCATCTGGACCAAGTATAATTCCTTTGCTTCAGAAGATGTTACTCTTTAGATCAAATTCACACATTGTTTTCAACCCTGCAAGCATTTTTTGTATTGACAGTGTTTTCTTGATATTGAAGAACTACATTTTAGCCTTACACTTCTTGATATGATAGCAAATTGTTCAGCCAGAGGAGGCAGGGTCTGCAACCTTCTGGTCTGTGGGAAAGGGTCTGTCCATCCCATCCTGGGACTTTCCTTTTGCTCTGGTCTCCCTGAGAAGGGCAGCTCTGGGGAGGACTAAGTGCGAATAAGTGCTGTTTCAAGCTTACTCCTTTTCTGATTTCTGAATGGAAATGTGCAGACTTGGTTAACAGGGAGAGATGATATCGGTCATAGAAGTCCCCACCTCCACCCCTTTCCACCCAAGTCTGTGCGGCATTGACTCTGTGGCACTCCAGAAGAAGAAACTCTATGGGTTCTCAAGGATGGCCAAAACTACAGATCCCTGTCCCTCTACCCTACAGGAGAGACTTATTAGATTTTGGTCCTCTCCATTTGCAGAAGCAGAAATGATGATGATATGGGCCTAAATTCCAACCCCTTTAAGCACATTTCTTAAAGCTTACAAGAGTAAAAGTTCAGGTAGAAGCCCTATGTCAAATTCATGCTTTGTGAAAGTATTGACCAAGCATGTATTTGATGCACCCCTGGCCCCATATTTAAAATACACCTTATTGTATAACTAGTAAAGTTATTTCAGGGGTCTAAAAACACTGAACCAGATCCTGTAATACCCAAAAGGTTCCAACTTTAACATCTAATGCATTGTCTCACCTGCGTATGTTTAAATCATATATTCAGCATGCATTTGCTTACTGGCTTAATGGGGCAATAGGTAGACTAATTAATTATTCCCTTCTTTCCCTCAAAGCTCGTTTGCAGTGTCAATTCAAAATTCTGGAGTTCTGCTCCTAAGGATCCATATATGGAATTTCATCACAGCATTAGACACTGATTACACTTTAATAATACAAAGTACATACTCTATCAAGAAGGTGGCTCCCAGGGTTTGACATCTACTTATGGGGTGCGCCCAGGTAGAAAAATAAATCAAGTAGACCCCATCCTATTCTCCTCTAAGTTAATAATGATTTTTTGCTACAAGCTATACAGAAGGCAGAAATAGCTCATCGGAAGGATATTTCATATCACATACTCAGTTTGCAAGCAGTTAATATCAATGGAGTTTGTTTCAGTCAAGTTGCAGTTCAACATATGGCCATTGAGGGGCAGGGTAATAACAAAAAAGAATTACTCTTGAAAGTTCTAAGTATAATAGGTATAGTGTGGTATTATAACTTTGCAACAGAATTTTTAAGCCCCAGAGTTGAAAATAACTGAGGCACAAATATTCCCTTGAGGGAAAAATTGTATTCTGTTCTTGATGAAAGTGGGGGTGGAAGGAGTCTGATGTATGAAAATTAATGAGAATTAGATGACAAGGGGTCAGATTATATGCAGTCATGAGCAAAAGTGATCAAAGGATGAGAAACAAGAACTTAATTTAAGTCTTGAAAGTCAGATGCTGGATCAAACCCTTTTCTCTCCTTTGATTCAGCTAGTCAGTACTTCCCATCATCTACAAAAGCCTAGTGGACAGGATTATGTTAATACAAGTTAATTTCCAGCTAAGTGGTTTCACAGACTTCTTCATTGGTAAAAATAAAGCTCAAGAAATCTGTGAATGTCTTGAGCAGTACTGCAACACAGAAACATTAAAGCACAGGAAATAGTTGGCTGCCCAATTATGTGCCTTAGAGATTTGTGTGGAAAAATTAAAACAATTAGATTTCCACAAATGGTATCCTTGGTATTTTGTTTTGGTTTTTTTTTATGTGCAGTTAAGTGGATTTAGCAAACTTGAAAAAGTATGATTTCAGCTAAACATTATTTAGGCCTGATTCTCCTCTCACTTATGCCAGGATTAATTCCATTTAGTTACACCAGCATAAATGAGCATAAGAGAAGAATCAGTCTCAGCAACTTTTTAACAACTCTGGCCTCAATGTATTGAATTATGACTGTGTGTGATTAAAAAAAAATGTGATTTACACTTAGATGTGAATTATATACAGTTCTAGTTCAAATAACTATAGTTATTTGCCCTCATTAATAGAATAAATTTCTGCTTGTTGCAATTCTGTATAAATATGTACTATCCTAAGTGCTGGAACTAGGGGTGCTGCTGCACCCCCTGGCTTACAGTGGTTTCCATTATATACAGGGCTTACAGTTTGGTTCAATGGCTCTCACTACCCTCACTATAAAAATTGTTCCAGCACTCCTGTATGCTATCATACTGCCCAAAAACTTTTGTGGTTCTGTTGATTTTTGGAGCCATGATTGTGTAACCCCTTGGGCTTTAGAGAGCATGGCCCCTTTAAATCTTTTTCCTATTGCGGAGGGGGAGCAGTGAAAGAAAGGAGAGAAACGTGGGGGTGTGGCTCTGGAGCCTGGGGAGAGAAGGGCTGCAGCCGGGAGGCCCTGGACAAACTGAAAGAGAGAGAACCTGCCTGAAGCCTGGGAAGGACGGGGCGGCTGATCAGGGACACTCCAGGACAAGAGCCAGGAGGAGCACTGCCAGGGAGGAATTGCCTTAGAAGGACAGGCCAGAGCTGGGCCCAGTATCACTGCTGCCCAGAGCTGCATGGGGCTGTGAGTACTAGGGCTTGTGATTCTATATTGGGAATAAGGAGGGAGGCTGCTAGTTAGTTAAGTGGGGAGTTTGTCGCTCTGTGTGGCTTTGCAGAGAGTGCAGAAGAGGGCACTGGAGGGGTTTGCTGGGGAAAGTTCACTGGTGCCAAAGATGACCAGGAGCACCCAAGACTCGCCCTTGAACTGGAACTCTGCTCAGGACTCCTGAACTCTGTGTGCAGACACATTCCTCACTAGTCTGCTCTTTCAGACTGTGCTAACGCTGGGCCTGTGGGGCCTTGGTTTGGATGCAACCCTGTTCTACTGCTGCTCCTACATTTTCCCTTCTTGTTTTTTCTCCTCTCCTCCCTCTGTAAATAAATATCTCCCTTCGTTATATCCATTGTATTTTCCTGTGGGTGTATGTGTGTTCACTCTGGGGGGTTTGGAACAGGTGCCCCTGGGGTGGAAGGAATTTTTCCTGCTGCATTCCTGCGTGCTGTCTCTTGGCCAGAGCTGCCTGAAGAGCAGACTCCATCTTGGCCACGAGGGTGCTAAAGTTACAACTGAAAAGAAATTAGGAAACTAAAAAAGACTAACTTCAATCCATTCAATAAAAGTTGCAGCTATCATCACACTAGTAGCTTTTATTGCAGTAAGCATGGAATTGCTCTGTCAACATCAGGACTGTTAGAATTGTCGGCACTTCACTGTATCCCTCCCTTTCTGTACATGCACCTTGCAGCACCCTAGTATCCTCCAGGGATGAAGGAGAAATGGGAACTTTGTCCATCCTCAGCTCTCTCTACGCTACCAACACAACTCTTCTGACCACTTTGTTTCCTGCAGCTTCTTGGAGGGGAGTATCCCACTTGCACCCAGCCCTCTGCCCTTTTGGCTCCTTAACCCACTCCACATTAGGGGGCACACACTCAAACCCCCAGAAGAGGGATACACCACTGACTAAAAATTAAAGAAATAAGTGTAATCTTCCTCTCCTGCAAAGCACAGACCAGCCCCACAGCTCCCGGAGCCATGCCACACCAATGAACTTGCATGGCATGGTATGGAGATGTCCTCAGGGTTGCACAAGAGCTGTGGTAGAGGGACCACTGGCCAGTTCTGCTATCAGAAATCCTGCTTCTGTCAGAAGAAGCTCTCTGTACACTGGAGGTTCAGGTTCAGAGTAGTGAGAACAGCTTGTACAAACCAACTGTCTACTCTACATAGTTATTTTCTTAAATAAATACGCCTTGATTCTGATCTCAAGGTAGAAGCAATTCCTCTGAAGTCAACAGATTTACACCAGCATAAATGAGAGGAGAATCTGACCTTTAGTGCTGGTGAGGAAATTTATTACCAGAAGTGATCTACAATCTCATCAAAAACAGATTTATTTACACTGGTTTTAGACAAGTGCAAAGACACGGATTTCAATTGAGTTAGCTCTCAGCTAGAGTGGCATTAGTGACAACAGGCTTACTAAATTCAGGATGGATTCAAGAGAACAACTTGGAAGGGAGAGGAGAAGCAGGACTTCATTTTCTTAGGTCAAGTTGAAGAGTCATAAATGTAGGTCACCATGCTTGTAATTTTCTCAGCATCTCATCAGTTACTTAATACTCAACATGTTTATCTGATCCCCAGAGTGCTACTAGACAAAAAGACAGCTGTTTGAGAAATTGGAAGGTATCAGTATTGGGGTTGATGTGCATTGTTAATGTGAAGGCTTGATTGGCTGAGTCCACATGACCATGAAGGTGATGGTGGCAGGAAATGTCCAATGACAAGTATATTAACTAACAGTTATCCAGGTGCAATTCTGGTTAGAAGCAAAACGGGTTGACCCAAGGCCCTGATCCTCCAATCAGATTTGCATGTGCAAATCCTTGTACCTGTGCAGAACTCTACTGAATTCAGAGGGTCTCCAGATATGTGTAATGGTCTGCCTATGACTGCAGCCCTGGTGAGTAACCCGCACTGGGTACCTAAAGATTTCCACAGACACATCAAAATTTCCATTCACGAGGCTAAACTTTGCCAACAGTTATCTCCATACATCCCCCACTGAAATCAGTGGGGTTGTTCTGGTGGAACTCAGGGCAAAATTTGGCTGATTAGGGAACCAATTTTGCACTTTTTATTCCAGCAGAACTCTTAGGTTAGGGTATGTCTTCTTTGCAGCTAGGAGTGTGCCTCCCAACCCAGGTATACAGACTCATGCAGCTCTGCTCGAGCTAGCATGCTAAAAATAGCAGTGTGACTGTTGTAGCCAGAGCACCGGCACAGGCTAGACACCCCATTCCAAGCCTGCCCGACTAGGTCTGAGCTCAGATGTCCAGCCCAAGCCACCACCATGCCACAGAATGGTCCATAGTTAACATGCGTCTGTCTATTCGGGCTGGGAGGCTTGGTCCTAGCTGCAGCACAGACATACTCTTATTGACGTCAAAGGGAGTTTCGCCAGATTGAAGTGGGCATGGGCAGAAGGCTCTTAAGGCTGCCCTCTTGAAGTTTGTTATATGTAAATTCATAGATTCACAGAGTTTAACCCCAAAAGGGACCATTATATCACAGGTCCTTAAATTTCATTCAGTTACCCCTGCACAAAAATTTGTGTTTGACTGAAGCATAACTTGAGTTGTTTGGCTAACGTGTATTTTCCAGAAACACATCCAGTCTTGATTTGAAGACATCAGGAGATGAAGAATTTACCACTTGCCCTGGTAGTGTGTTCCAATGGTAAATCCCCCTAACTGTTACAAATTTGTGCCTAATTCCTAACTTTAATTTGTCTGGCTTTAACTTCCAGATATTGGTTCTTGTTATGCTTTTCTCTGTTAAATTAGAGAGTCCTTCAGTATCTAGTATTTTCTCCCGTGAAGGTACTTATGCACTGTAATCAAGTCACCTCTTAGTCTACTTTTTCAAAACAGATTGAGCTCTTTAAGTCTGTCGAGCCCTTGAATGGTTCTTCTCTGCACCCTTTCCAGTTTTTCAATATCCTTTTTAAAATGCATACACCAGAACTGTAAGCAGTATTCCAGTATCTGCCCCATAGATGCCATAAACATTGGTACAGTCACCTCTCTTACTCACTACTCCCATTTATACGTCCAAGGATCACATTACCCTTTTGGCCATGCCATCACACTGGAAGCTCATCTTGAATTGCTTGTCCACTATGACCCCTAAATCCTTCTGAGTCACTGCTTTCCAAGATACAGTCCCCCATTCTGTCATAGGCGCCGAATTCCCCTCTGCCCGGCAGGTGCTCGACCCCACCCCTGCGCCACCCTCACCTGCCCCCATTCAACCCCCTTCCCCCAAGTCCCCATCTCTGCCCCACCGCTTCTCCACCTCCTCCTACGAGTGCACTGCGTCCCCGCTCCTCCCTCTGCCTCCCGGAAAATCCTAAGTGCTGCCAAACAGCTGTTAGGCGGGGAGGGGGGCAGGAAGTGCTGGGATGGGGGAGGGAAGCAGGGATGCGATGTGCTTGGTGGGAGGGGAGAAGGAAGGGGGAGGGAGCTCGGCTGCTAGTGGGTGCAGAGCACCTGCTAATTTTTCCCTGTGGGTGCTCCACCCTGGCGCCTATGCATTCTGTAGGAATGTCCTGCATGCCTTGCCCCTCAATGTATAACTTTGAATTTGGCTTTAGTTGAACATTCTGTCTGAATAAATCCAGGTTTCCAAGCAATATGTGTGACACTGAATATAATAAAGGATGCTGGGCCCAAATAAATGGTATTGGGAGTTCTGTCTGAGTAAGGACTATAAACAAAGACAGAAATCTGTAGGATTGGGCCCTCAAACACACTGCGAACTCAGACTTTTTTTTTTTTTTTTAAAAAGATGCCGGCTTACATCATTTTACCTGTCCTTACATATAAAGGGATTTCTACTCGTATGGATAACATAAAATAGATGCTAAAGCACTATTGGAAAGTTTGACAATATTTCTAATCATTTGCATATTTTAACATTTAAATTCATTCTTCAAAAACATATAATCTTTCAGAACAGCTGGAATGCTATGGTGTAACAAAACACACATTTGTAGGGGTTTAAAAAAGATTTATGTTGGTACTGGGAACAAATACTGGTTATCATAATCTGGCAGTTGAGATAATTTCCCACAGGTCCCCAAATGCCCCATATTAATTTCTAGTGAATACAATCATCTCTTCTAAGGAAAGCAGAACTGATCAGCGGAAGGTTCCCATCCCATCAAACGCTGATGAACTCCAGCAATAAACCTCGGGTGACTGCAGCAGATGTTGCTGTTATTTGTTTTATTTATTTTACTAATGCACAGCTGCCAGGGCTGACAAATGAAAGACACTGAGTTCCATCAGGATTATGATCTCCAATTATTACACTTTAAGGGATGGAGTCTCTAAAAAATCATGGATTTAAAAAAACACAGAGGTGTTTAATATAAGACTTTAAAAAACAACTGGCCTCTTGTAGAGATTCTCAAGACCATAGCATCTGACAACATACATTGGTAATATATTGTTCTAGATAATGGTTAAATAAATCTGATTTTAATTTGTACAAGACAGTTTTGTACAGTTCATGATGTAAAGATAGGCCATATTTCTTGAATAGTAAGAGACTGGATTATAAAATGAAATTTTGTAAATGCTGAATGCAAACTGTTTAGGGCACTAATTAGATATTCTATTCTTTTGCTAGAGATGGGTAGATTGAAATCATAAATAAGTAAATTTCCCTTCTATCAAATAATATACTATAGTAATTCATTTGGGGGATGAGACACACACAGCGGATAGAAGAGGGAAAGCAAATCAAAACAACTAGCAGATTGATCTGAAAGGCAGAACATTCTGAGCTTCAATACTGACTCCACTACAGATTTTCTGTTTTGCCTTTCACAGGTCAGTAAGGGCTAGATATTCAAAGGTATTTAGGTACCTAATGATGCAGATAGGCACCTAGTGAGATTTACAAAAGCAACTAAACAGAGTAAGCACCTAAATCTCATTGATTTCATACTT